GTTTTTAAAATTGAAAAATAGAAGCACCAACCACTCATTATTTCTATAGTTTTTTAAAATTGGTTCAAATCTTCTTTTATCAGAGTTTTCAAAATTTAAAAAATCATCTTTTTTTTTTATTTTGTTTTGTTCCGTTTTACTATACTGCCTTAGCAGATCCTTCATCTATATGTTTATTTTATTCTTCTTCCAAAACTTATACCATATGTTTTCTGGCTTATCCAATAAAAAATAGAATTTCGTAAAGGTGTTCTTTTATTTTTGAAAAAAAAAATCGTGCTTCTTCCTCTTTTGTTTATCTTTTTATCCATCTGCTCTCACTCTACAAGTCTATACCCTTATATAATCGGAATTATGTACTAATTTTTTGTTATAATTTTTTTTTTTTTTTTGTTATATTTTTTACTTTACATTTATATAATTTTTCGTTATAACAGAATATTTAAGATTTTTTCATTGAATAGATTCATTACAAGTCGAATTATTAATTGATTGAATAAGCGAAAAATTATTATTATAACAGTTATTATAACTGTTATATGTTAAATTACATCCTGTAAATGCAGCTAAATATATTTCATTTGGATTATGTTCTGAATTATATTTTTTTGATAAATCAATTAAGATTTCAACCATTTCATATGCTAATAATGGTTTGTGTCCATAATTTAAATTTGTATTTTCATAACTTCTATATTGTGAATTATTATTATATGTCATATATTGTGAATTATTATTATTATTTGTTATTATTGTAGTAGGAAAATAATTGTCATTAATTGTATTTGAAAAATTATAATTAATATCTGGATTGAAATAATCTTCATCAGTTGGCAACATTCTAAAGAAAAGAAAATAGAAAAAAATTATTATTATTTTAAATTTAAGTGCATTTATTAGTAGAATAAATACAAGAGTAATTTGAGCTCGTTGGGTGATTTGTTTTTCAATTTGGTTGTATAGTGTGCATGCTAATTAAGAACGGGTTTAGCACTATATTAGTACAGTAATTAAATTTTGTGATAACTGGTCCCGTAGTATTATTTTGCTAGTGCATTTGTTTTGTGCAATTAAATATTATATTAAGTACCAAATAATTTTTAATATTATACTGTATGTGTATGGCTTCCAGTGAATGACAACGAGTATTGTGTTTGAATTAAAATTAATTTTACCCTTTCAATTTTTAAAGCAATTCAATATTAATTTCAAGTTATTTTATTTAAGAGATGGTGTTGGCGGTATTTGCATATAATACTCATTTGCATTGTGTTTTGGATTTTTTTTGGGCTGCAAGCTGCTGAAAAGAATCGGTCCCTCATATAAATAAATGATAACAACTTCAGAATCATGCACCGTAGAGTAACTATTAGACACTAATTTTAAAGATAGTTGATAGATCTTTATTTTTTTCTTACAATCAATTACATTTGAACCTTCAGTTTTCCGGAAAAAGCAACTCAAAATGAGAAATTTGGATTTTAATGAATATGTGAAAATTTTTTGAAATACACGAAATATTTTAGAAATTTTTGTTATTATTTGGTGTTTTTTTTCTTTGATGCGCTGCAACAAAATATAAAAGTCCTCCATACAAAATTTTTTTTTTAGTCTTTTATATAGTTTCATTGAAAAAACGAGAGAAAGCACTTAATTTAGACTCATAATTAGTAAATTAATAGTGGCAGCAAATTGAGAGTGAGCCGGACCCATATAATATTACTGTTTGCTATTGTGAATTTAGTTGACATTTATAGTACAATTGTTTAAACCAAAACAAAATTTAAAGTTTTGAACTCTATGCGAATTTGTGTGTTTAAAACAGAGTTTCTTGTACAGAACCTCATGGATAAGCAAAACTTTCGTATGGAGACGGTGTTCACAATTCAACAGCTTCCAAGTTACAGTCGCTTAAAGTCAATATCGACTGATGTGTTTCAATTTGTTAATTTTTGCAAATGTAAGCAAAACCCAATTGTTAATTTCACTCATTCTTTTATTATTATTTAAGTGAATATTTATATAAAGCACAAACTATATAATCCTATTAGGCACCACACTATATTATTACTCTTCTTATTATCCTATAGTTGATTGTTGTAGATGCAAACAAATTTTATTTATTACTGAATTTTAATAATATTATATACTCACTTTATTTTATTATAAATTTTTGATTCTTAATAATTTTATTAAAATTTTCAAAAAATAAGTATTTAATTACTAATTTTTAGAATAATCAAAATTGTATACCGTTCACTTTAAGTTCTAAAATTGAAATAAACTGTATTTTTATTTTACTGAACACAGAAATGTGAATTATTTGAGGTATAATGTCCTTATATCCTGTTTTTATTACATAAAATAAAAAAATTCGTCCCTTTAACTTCACAGAATTCAATATTTTTCCACAATTGAAATTTATTTAATTGGTTTCTCCAAAAAATACATAAGACACGAGACAAAAATAAAAAAAAAAAAAATTGTTTATATTTTTTTTTATTATTATTATTTTAAGGACTTCTCCCTTTTCCACGTCCGTTATGCTTTATGGTTTCATTTATTCTATTTTACGATCAAAAAAATTTTTTATAAGTCCTGCGCGCGCACAATGAACTTTATTTTTATTTTTCTCTATTTTATAATATTTTCTTCTTCAATTTATTTTTATTTTCAAATTGTAATTATATATACATTTGGTAAACAGCTGCTCCCTTATTGTACTTTATGGTACTCATAATTACATATAGGAATTTCCAAATTTCATATGCTCACATACGAGTTTATATACATACAACTCATACACATATGTACATTATATATGAACGTACAATATTATACTGGTATTTTCTCACCCTTAATATTCTACAATTTTGAGTAGCTATTATAAGAATAATGTCGTAAATTTTTAAAAATAAAAAATTTATGAAACAACGACTAGATTTCAACTGTATTTCTTATGTGTTTATTATTATTGAATTGATTGAAGTAATATGACCAGATCGAAGAAGAATATATTAACAAAAATTTCTGCAACCAGAAAAAAAATTTATAATTTGTGAGATTATGAGATTTTAAGTTGTGTTGCCCGCATATGATTTGAAGATTTTCGAAAATATAAACGATTCTGTTTTATTAATAAGAGGATTAATTATTTTTTTTTTTTTTTAAATTTTTTTTTATTTCAGACAGAATATGAAATCAAAGAGCAATTATGAAGTTTAAGATTCGTTTTGTAATACCTTTTTATTTTCTGCTGTGCTTGTTCTCTATAGATGGTTTTGTTCTTTGTCAGAGTTTCTATTTATAGCCAGGTATAACTGACAACATTGAGAATTTGGTTGTTTTTTATTAGATTTTCTGAAGTATTCAACCAACGTTCATCTACCGATAAAACTGAATAATTGAAGTGAAACCAGTTTTTTGACATTTGTATTTAAATATTCTTAGTCTCCATAACAATAAAATATTTATGTTTAGAAATTTATTCTAAATATCATGTTCGAAATAAATTTATACATTTTATTAAATATAAATTGGTGTTTAATGTACAGGAGACAATATCTAATTGACAATGTATATTTTCAAAATAATTGTAATTACACAATAGAGCTACTTTTTTTGAGTGGCGCTGCTATAAAATAAAAAAACTTAATACTCAATATCATCGCTTAAAAAAGTAGTTCCTTGTGTATTTTTTTAAAAATTGTCTTCTTTGTGTCACTATAAACTACATACATATTATATAGTTATGACATAACTATGAATTTCGTATAAAAAACACATTAACATTTTTCATTTTCAATTTTATAGTTTAATCTAGACAAATGAAGATGTCACCAGCAGTAAAATTTCTACATTCGCCTGAATTTATGCAATATTATTTAAAAAATAAAAAGATTCTACTTCAGAATGCACTTAGTATGTGCAGTAATGTAGTACTCAAATCTTTTTCTTACACGTTTTTTCTTACACTTTTTTCAAATTTTAAAAAAAAATTTTTACAAAATATTCATTCAACACCTTTTGTTTCCAACTAGTGACATAATTTTAAGTTTTCTTTAAATATTTTTGACAGATAGCAAAATTTGCAAATATTACTGGTGATAAGTTAAATAAGAACATATAGGAAAATACCCAATATTTAATTCTATTCCGAACATATGCCATATATTTACATGCATTTACACAAATCTCACACAGAACAAAACCGCTGAAATAACATACATACATAAATTCACTAATCCAAATAACATACATCAATTCACTAATCTGGAGGTCAACAAATTCTTTCATACTCTGCGATACATTTTTTAACGTCACTCAACCGATTGCAGTGCTGTTGACTCTAATACACTACATCAAATTTTTTTGTAAATTCGGAATACTAAGTCCATTAGAAAATCAATATAATTTCTAAACTCAATTATAAATTCACACGTATAATACCGACATTATGAAATTCTCTTTATTACCATAATATTAGATATGTTTGTATTTGTCAGCTAATATTCAGTTTAATATCATAATATGAAATTTAATATAAAGATAAACTAATATAATGTCCTTATATAAATCATTCAATACTTTGTTTCATAACGTAATATTGTAATTCACAATAGCAATTTTGTCGGTCTGCGCCATCTGGTGACAAATATATCAAATTTTTAATATAAATTTTTTAAAATTGTATTATTTGATGTTTTTAATACGAAAAAAAAGTCAATAGAGAAAACATTTATAATTTCATTTTTTAAATTTTGTTTAAAAAACTTAAACATCAAAATTTGAAGACTACGTTTGTGGCCGTCACTAATTTTAAATATTGTAACATTAATATTACATGTCTGTTAGTAGTATATTTACAATATTTGTTCACAATAACATTTACGTTATAAAAAGATATTATCAAACAGTAGATTAGAATTAGCATCACAACGGTCACTCTAAAAATAAAAAGAAATTTACTTTGTCAAGAAAAGTGTTTTATGACAAAGTGACGTTTATCAAAATATATTTTTGTAGAAAAAAGTGCAAAATAGAATTATTGACAAAATATAAATAAAAATTTAAGAAAAGGAAATTAATTAGAGAAACGAAAAAATGGGAAAAAGGCAACATCAAAAGGACAAAATGTCAGTTAAATGCAAAATTTCATTTCTTATTTTACTGATTTGAGTTTATTTTAGGTACTTAACGTACACTGAATGGTCTGAGTTTTACGGAGGAAAAAAAACAGAATCGTTGGAAAATGAACATATTAAATTTAAACGATTACCATTTGATCACTGTTGTATTACAATGGTACCATTTGAAAATCCGTTTTGCGATTTAGATGGAAATTGTTATGAATTACAGGCAATAATAGATTTTTTGAAGAACTTTAAAGTTAATCCAATTTCAGGCAAACCACTGGATGGAAAAACTTTAATTAAAATGAAATTCTATAAGAACAATGATGATGAATATCATTGTCCAGCTTTATTTAAACCATTTACGAAAAATTCTCATATTGTTATGGTTGCAGAAAGTGGAAATGTATTTTCTTGGGAAGCTATTGAACAGCTTAATATTAAAACAAAAAATTGGAAGGATTTAGTTGACGACACACCTTTTCAAAGAAAGAATTTAATAACAATACAAGACCCAAATAATTTAGAAAAGTTTGATATAACAAAATTTTATCATATAAAAAAGAATCTGAAAGTGCTTACTGAAGAGGAGATTAAGGAGAAAGGTGATCCAAAAAAGAAGATAAAATCTATGAATTTAGAGACAAAGGAAACATTATTAGAATTGGCTAAAGATTATAAAGAACCTGAAGAAAAGGCAATAAAAGAAAAACCTGTAGCAGATAAATTTAATGCAGCTCATTATTCAACAGGAGCCGTTGCTGCAAGTTTCACTTCAACAGCTATGGAACCTGTAATTAATCATGAGCCGGCAATAATTGAGGAAAGCTTAGTTAAATATGAAAAAGTAAAAAAAAAGGGATATGTCCGTTTAAGTACAAATTTTGGCCAATTAAATTTTGAATTGCATTGTGATACGGTGCCAAGAGCTTGCGAAAATTTTATTAAACATTGTTCAAATGGTTATTACAATAATACTGCATTTCATCGTTCTATACGAAATTTTATAATTCAAGGTGGTGATCCAACTGCAACAGGTACTGGTGGAAAATCTATTTGGGGTAAACCATTTGAAGACGAATTTCGTCCAAATTTATCTCATTCTGGTAGAGGAATATTATCAATGGCTAATTCTGGGCCAAACACAAATTCATCTCAATTTTTTATAACATATCGTTCCTGTAAACATCTTGATGGTAAACATACAGTTTTTGGAAAACTTGTTGGTGGAATCGATACGTTAAATAATATCGAAAAGATTGAAGTTGACAATAAAGATCGACCTATTGTAGGCATTTATATTGAAAAAGCTCATGTATTTGTTGATCCTTTTCAAGAAGCCGAAGAACAATTAGAAAAAGAACGTCAAGAGGAAGCTAAAAAGCAAGCAGAGGAAATGGCAAAAAAGGATGTAAAAAAACAAGCCCAAACATTAACTGTTCATCGTCAAGGAGTTGGAAAATATTTGGATATAAAAGAAATTAAAAAGAAATACGAAATACGGAGTACAAAGACAATAGATGAAGTGAAGGAACCAGTTGTTAAAAAGAGAAAAGCGATTGAAGGCTTCTCCAATTTTAAATCATGGTAAATGCATGCATGTCAAGTCGGAAAATGTGAATAAAATTAAAGTGTCAAAACTGAACTATTATTTTCAGCTTCATTTTCATACAAATGTTTTTTAAACCTATTTTCTGTTAGTCACAGCACATGAATGGGTTGGTATTTGAAAATCTTTAATTTTATAAATGAAGTGAATTCCCAAATTCGAAATCCTATACTAAAATAAAATTCTTTTCAATAATATTCTCTCACCCCAAGTGAAATGACTAACAGAATACGGGTGTAGTTTCAAAGGTTTTTCAAAGACTTGGAGTTCAATTCTTTCCTCTTAATCTTTCGCCAATACTATCCCAAAACAAATAATAAAGCTTTTCTAGTTGTTTTAAGTTAAACAATACTTTATTTCATAGAAATAACGTTTTTGTAAAATTTGTAGTTGGACCTGTAATTGAAAAAAAAAAGTGATTAGTCTTGATGCTTACCAATAGGTTTTCATTTTGTTTGTGTTATATGTGCGTACGTATGAGTATTATCAGTAAAGAATTAACATCAATTTTTTTCAGTCGAAAGATGGTATAATATTATTTCATCATGAATTTAGTTTACTCATTAAATTTTTGCTTGATTTGTTTTATTTACCTGTTTACATTTAATCAAAGAGACCGAAGCCCATATCGTCATCTTCAGATTCCGATTCTTCTTTCTTTTTCTCTTCTTTTTTCTCCTCTTTTTTAGCATCTCCAGCTCCTGAATCACCTGCTGGGGCTGCTGATGCTGCAGCTGCAGCACCACCGCCAACCGGCATTGAAGATAATTTCTCACGTCCTTGTGCAATGAGTTCATCAATTTTCTTCCCATTCAATTCTTTAATTACTTTTGTTAGGCATTCTTTGTCAGCTTCAATACCAACAGAACTAAGGATTTTTTCAATGTCAGCTGCAGCAGGATTTTCTTTTCCGCCTAAAACGGCTAGCATATATGCGGCTACGTAACGCATTCTACAAGTAAAAATGTTTTCATAACATTACACGTATGAATGATACAAATAACATCCAAAAATATTTCATTAATCTTTCACTTAAAAATTATACAAATGCATTGAAATTGATTTTTGGAAGTTTATGTATATGAAATTGATATGATTATTAAAATTACTTACTTTTAAGTCCTTTTTTTGACACGAAACGTGAGCTCGACAAAAATAAAACAAGTCTACACTTTGAAAGTTTGAGTAAAAAGAAACAATTAATTTACATGAGTCAATGATTCACAATAGAAATGTCATAAAGAGTATTGCCATTTATACAATTTGACAAATAGTAAGGTCTGTTCGCTTACTTTAAAAAAATTTTAAAAGATGAAAGTTTGAACTAATAACAGGACTAAAATGTCAATATATTTATTGCATTAATTTTTTATGTTTTCAATATTTGTCCAAATTTTGTAAAAATATATAAGCTTCTGGAATATTTTTTTACGTCTTTATTTTTCAAAATTTTTATTTGTCAAAGCGTAAATGTAAAAAAAAAATTTTCCGATCGATATAAAGCCTATGTAAAAAAAATGTCAAACATTTTTCAGTGAATGCTCAAGAAAAAAAAGGTATATATCTTTACAAAAGTTTTACAGAAACATTCAGAACGACGGCAAATGGTCATACCACTTTCTTAAATTGATTAATTTTAAGAAAATTGTTGTCGCTCCTCGTATAAAAATGTCATTCGAAGCAATTTCAGCTTGCGACAGAAGAAATACAATAAACGACAAACTTAATAAATTTTCGAATCGAGAATAAAAGTTGATACTATTCTTGATATCTAGTGATACTGTTGTTACAATTGATTGATACAAATGATAATTTTTTTACCATTCATACGAAACTGTCTGTCATAAGTTATTTGAGATTATCATAATTAAAAAAAAAACTCATTTTTATATGTACGTATCTATATACATACATAAATTATATTTTTCGATAGATTCGATAGATGAACTAACCATTTCAATTTGACAATTATCCATAAAAAAATTTTCAGTTTGCAAAGAAAAAGAAGCAACATTCTCCTGCCTTTAATATTTTTAATTTATTGGTTGTTGCTATTTCTAATTAGTTGGTAACACTGTTTTGTATAATTTTCGACGACAAGTTCTTTTAAAAGCTTCTTTTTCAATATGTTAAACCTTTAACGGATTTAAATTTCATTTGAATTATATAAGCTATTTAAAATTGCGGCAATTTTATTCCTTGAAGATTTAAAAGAACAATTACAAGTTTTTCATAAAATAACGAAAACACCTGAAGCCTCTTTGGAATTGGTAGATATATGAAACAAAAACTTGATATGTGGAATTAAATAAGCAACGTCGTGTTAGGACTGAGGCAGAAATATATGTAACTGTTCCCAATTATACAGTAATACATGCAACATCATAAGAACATAGTTTTATGAAGTTCTCTAAGTCATCGAACATTTTTGGAAATATTGCAGTTTTCGAAGAATCAATTGCTATCAAATATGAAGTGGCTTTAAGAAACGAATAATTCAACATTTAGATCAGTTGGAGCCTGAAGAATGTTAAAGATTTGACTAAGGGTATGTATGTAAATATATTTTTGAGAAATAGAAAATTCAATATCACACTAAGTAGGTATGTATTTATTACATGCATACATATTCAAGTTTCCATTAAAAATTATAATAAGATCTCCAAAGTATGATTTTAGTAAGCGAGGATTGATCTGAAAAAGTTAACTGTACTTGTTCCGTCATGACGTCACAGTTAATTTTCTCCTTTCCTAAAAAGAAAACAACAAAAGAAAACCACAAAGAAACACTACTTGATATGAAGGAAAATTTTTGATACTTATCTAAATTTGCTATAATCCAGTGTAATCCACTCAGCGGGTTTTTGTTCTTCACCTAAAATTGAATATATTGGATTTAACATGTAATCTTATTTGCAATAAAATACTTACATGAATTTGCAATGTTTTCCAGCTATGCATCTACCAGTCCAGATAGGATTTTCAAGTGCCGGTCCAGCACTTTTTGGTTGCTCTTCACTCCTCCATCGTTTTTTCCTTCCATTGCTGCATTTCCTTTTTGAGCTCCGGCTCCTATAAATCTCCATTTTTTTTTGTGTAAAATTTTGATTTTTTGCTTTCTTTAAAAAACTTGCACTTCACATCACAATATAAATAAAACTGGTGGGTGACAGTTTGCAGCGATCATTTCTGCACAAATATTATATTTCAATGCTGCCAACTGTCACCTATGATCATAGATGAGTTTGTTTAGAGTTATAGTCAGCTATTGATGGAAGTGTAATAGAGTAAGAAAAGAAATAGAAGGTGAATGAAATGGAGAATGGAAGGGGAAAATAGCATAAAATAGAAAAGAAGAAACGTAGAATTTTACAACAACAATTTGTATTGCGATGTATATAAGAATGATACATTGCATTACAGGTTCGTTGAACTATACCATATGATCTATGTAAAAGAAAAGAAGAAAACGTTAGCAACCGAAAAGTGGGACTGGCTAGGAACAACTTCACCGTTTACTCAACCGCTGGTTCCAGAAATTATAAAAGGGACAAAATCATCAAGAAGAGGTACGACTAAATAGAAGATCGCTCACCGCAACGTATCGACTTTCGAGTTATACATTTTGTCAAAATTGAAATAATTTTTTGAATTATATAATTGAAACCGAAAGAAAGTATTGTTAAAACAAAGATCATTTTTTTGAATTGTATAATTTCAACTTTGTACATATAACTTTTGCATTGTGAAATAATTTGAAGAAAAGAAAATTTGTATTGATTTGTATTGTGAAGCAATTTGAAAAAAAAGAAAAGAAAATTGAAGAGAAAGAAAATATAATATATATATATATAAAACATATTTATTTAGTAAATTTTTTTTTAAGAAAAAGAGAACATAAATTTTTTTGGATTTGGTGCTTTCTATAATAAACTGAGAATTCTAAAAAAAAAAACAAAAAACTTATTTTTTATTTAAATATTTTTAAAGTGTTAGCAATTATTCGCGAACATTTTTTGGTCCTTCGAGCCGGATATTTTTAGAGGCAAATTTGAATTTAGAAACTTGGCTTTTTTTTTATTGTAAAATTAAACTTATATACTTTAAATGAAGAACGGTGTTGTGTAATAAATTGGTGTTAAAATAGACCATAGACAAAGGTGGTAGTGCGATATATATATAAAAAAAAAAAGGTGGTGCTTAAAACATTCGAAAAAAAATATTAATGAACCATTATATATTTAAGTTTTGTTGCAAGGGAACAGTGTAAAATATTAAGATTTACAAACAAAAAAAAGAAAATATATAAGAAGGGAACATTGTGTTTTTTTTTTGTGTGAATTTTTTGAAGCTAGTAGTGCAAAACGGTTTCGGTATCGGTTCGCGTTTCGCGCCAATGGAATAAGCGGAGTAAGTGCTTCTGGAGTAAGTGGCTGGCTAACAGAAAATTAAGTAAGTCCGTTCCAATTTTTTTTGAGAAAAATATTTTCTTCTTTTTGTTGAGATTTTGGTTGAAGATTTTATTATATGTTTTGTTCAACCTTTTTTAATGAAATTGGATTGCTTGTGTGGTGTCTAATTGATTTGTGGACATTGTTTTTTTTGGATGGATGGAATAAATTTATTTATATTTTTGAGGCAACAGATTATTTAAAAAAAAAAAAAATAATAAAAGAAAGAGGATTTTAGAGTTGAAGTTATCTTGTGCGATTTAATCAGAACGCGGTAATAATTATAATTGAAATTACAAAAAAAAAAAATTAATTAAGGGATCATAACTTTATCGTTAGTGGTTGCACATATTACTAATCTAACATTCAACAACATTTTAAGATTATTTGTTTGAACAATAGAAGCGTTGTTTTTCGCGCGGAGATTCCGTTTTTTAAAAAGTGAATTCATGAATTAACAACTTTTAAGGCAAGAATTGTGCAATAAATTGATTGAAAGTGTTGTGTGAAATAAGTGAATTGTAATATAATTAAAATTAATTTAATACTGTACGGTATGGATTATTTTTCGGTAAACTTGTAAAAAAAAAAAAAAATATATAAATTTTCTACAAAATAAAAACTTTGTACAAGGCAAAAATTAACTGAATTCTTGAATAAAATTATTCGTTTGATTAACAATAAGCGTTTATTTTTTTATTGCCCGTATTCGTTTACTTTTGTATTTTGTTCCTTTTACATTAACGTAAAAGGATATTTTCGTGACACACTTTTTTTTTGAAACTATATACAATGGACAAATTAATTAAGCTTCAATTAGCGGACAAGTTTTTGATCGAGGAAATAGTCTCACATTTTCTGGATGACACACGTGAAAGCAAGCCGAAGGCGTTTTACAGGGAAGCTCTAGATGACATAGGGGGCCTGTATGCGGAGCTGAAGAAGAGACATAGACAAATATTGGTTGCATCATACACTGACAAAAATGCAGACAATGTGAAGTACCCTTACTTGGAAAATAGCGTTTTCAACGAAATAAAAACATTTTATCAACATAAACATCAAATGATAGAAGCTGAAATGAAAACCAAATTCCCAGAGAGACCACCGGAGCTAAAGATGGACCCAAATCAAAGTATTAGCCAAAGGGTGGATGTTCCCAATATTTCAATAAATTTGCCAAAAATCACCTTGGCAAAATTTGACGGCGATTATCAAAAGTGGCCTTCGTTCTATGATCTTTTTAAATCTTTGGTCCATAATAATGAGATGATTCCAGCGGTCCAGAAATTACAGTACCTCAAATTGCACCTTTCCGGTGAACCAGAGCATTTGTTGAGAGCCTTTCAAGTAACAGAGGATAATTATGCTGCCGCATTCAACATGTTGAAAGAAAGATATGACAACAAGCGAGTATTAGTTAATACTCAACTTAAATTGCTGCTCAATCAAAGCTTTGTAAATCAGGAGACGGCTACGGCAGTTAAAAAATTACTGGACACTACTAATGAATGCTTACAGGCATTAAAGAATCTACAAATAGATGTGGAGGGCTGGGATCCTATAATAGTTTATCTCATCGTGCAAAAACTGCCAACCGAGACACATCAGCTATGGGAACAGAGCGTCAGCGCGGAGAATCAATTACCAACTTGGCGACAATTGGAAAGTTTCCTTGAAACTCGATTTCGCACATTGGAGGCTATATCAACGAGGCGATCTTCATCACATTATAGACCTTTACAAAACGAAGCTAGTAAGCACAGGAATAGTTGCGCTTTG